CAGGGGGAATCTCTGAGTTTGAGGCCAACCTGGTCTACAGAGCGAGTTCCAGGACAGCTAAGGCTGTTACACAGAGGAACCCTGTCTCAAAAAAAAAAAAAACAAAAAACAAAAAACAAAACAACAACAACAAAAAAAAGACTTAAGAGAGTAAAAAAGAAAAACAATTTTAAAAAAGAGTAAAAAGTTTTTCTTCCTTTTATGCCCTGAATCCTCTCCATTTTTGGAGGAGCTGGCCTTTTAAACTAAAAAGGTTTCAAGAGGTTCTCCTTCCCTGACTTCTGGATACCATTTATACCACAGCTATAAGCTTAGTATAGACACACTTTTGATGTTGCTCATGTGATATCACCAATTTGTAATGCAATTATCTACAAGGCACATGGTACCAATAAATAATCACCAGGTGTCATAGTCTGTTTTGTGTTGCTGTAACAGAATACCAGAGGCTAGTTATAAAACTGCAGAGGTTTATTTAGCTCATGCTTTTGAAGGCTCAGAAGTCCAAGAACAGGGCTCCAACACCTGAAGAGTGCTACAACATATAACACGACAGAGAGAATCACATGGTAATTCCAAGCAAGTGTGCCAGACAGTAAGATGTGTATGTGTACATACCGCTGTGAGCATGTGGAGGTCAGAGGACGACTTTGTGGAGTTTCCCCCCTCCTTTTATGTGGGATATGGGGATTGAACTTGGGTCATTAGGCTTGAACAGTAGTTGTGCTTCCCTGATGAACCATCTGGCTGGCCCTATCTTATTTTATTTTTGTGGTGCTAGGGATCAGACCCAGGGTCCTGCACTAGCTAGACGGGCACTGGGCCCCTGAGCTCTGTCCCCAGCTCTACAGACCAAGTTTTTATAACAAGGCCACTCCTTTAATAACCCTCTAACCTGGTAATCCCATAATCTATGGGGTCAGATCCCTTCCCACCCAGTCACTTCCCAAAGGCCTCTTCTCTCAACACTGCTGTACTGAGGGCCAAGTTCCCAACATCCCAGGTCTCTTTTCTTTTATTCCATTTGTTTGTATGGCTGTTCCAGGGGTGATGGGCAAAAAAATCAACTCCACTCAAGCCTAGCTTGGTGAAGCAGTAAGTTTATAGGTGTCACTTAAAGGCCCATGGGTGACTCAAAGTCAACTGCATGACTAACCAGCCCACCCCAACATTCGGGAGAACTCACAAATGCTGCTTCCCTGGGGCTCCCTGGCCAACCTGTGGGAAATTCCACTAAAGTCTTTCCTCTCCGGAAATCATTTGCTGCTTTTATAACAGTGGGGAGGGGCTTTGAGAATCTTGAAACATTCTGAATTTATTGAGCCTTCACTAGTTCCTTGAGTTTTAGGGAGCTCCCTTCTCCCTCTTGAGGAAATGTTTCAACTCAGAGGAAATAGATACACAATACTACCCTGGTCCAAACTACATAGTATGTATCTTCCAGGGGAAACTTCTGAAAGTATGATTATCAGTTCATAGCTCAAAATGCAATCAAATGCTACTTTGTTGCCAGACCAATCTAGTCTAATCACCTTGGGTTCAGGACCCCACCTAGATTGCTTTATTTCCCACCATACATCTAAATACTTGAAATCCTGGCCTGTCAGGCAGCCTGCCATCCAGTAAACAATAATGACAATGTCCCTGCTAAGTGTCAGACACTGGATGACACTCTTGGACTCTTGAGAACTAGGAGAGTAGGACAATCTAGTAGAGGACCCGGCTACCAAAAACTTGTAAGAGGTCAGAAGAAGGGGTGCAGAGGAGGCTGTACTTAAGATGAGCCAGAGGTTTGCATTGGAGGGTTTGGCCAGGGAGTGGAAAGGAGTTGATGAAAGTTGTCCATTTTGAGCCACCAAATGCAGGTATGATGGGGGCATTGAAGGACCAATGTGTCTGAGAAGGCAAGGTGAGGCTGTGGAAGATGTTGGCTCACTAGAAACCTGTGGTCTCAGGACTGACACCTGTCCCTCATTTAGCAAAAATGTTACCACCCTTTGTGCTGGTGAGATAGCTCACTGGGAAGAGGAACTTATTTATTACTGAATCTTACAGCCTGACTTTGATCCCAGGACCAACATGGTAGGAGTGAACTGATTCTCCAAAGTTCTCCTTTGACCTTTACACATGTGCTGTAACACGCACACACGCACGCATGCACATACATACACTAAAATCTTAAGTGCTAAAAATAAACATCACTTCCCCGGGCGGGGTGTGTGTGTGGCTACTGTCGGCACGAATCCTAACTGGTCTTATAATAAAAACCCAGAACCAGATACTGGGGTAAATGCTGAAAGATCAGAGGAAACAAACCACAGTCACTTCTCACCTTGCCAACTCCTCAGCTGAAAGGGGAGGTGAGATCCTGTCTCCAGAAATCCTCAGACTGAATGCTTCTGAGTCCTCAGCTGAAAGGGCACCGAACTCCTGTCTCCTCCTGCCTTATGTTTCTTTCTCTGCCCAGCCATATCACTTCCTGCCTCAGTCTTCCTAGTGCTGGGATTAATGGCATGTGTACTTCCCGAATATTGGTAGCAAAGGCATGAGATCTCAAGTGTTGGGATTAAAGATGTGTGCCACCACTGCCTGGCTCTGTTTCTCTTTTAGATGAGATTAATCTTGTGTAATCTAGGGTGGCCTTGAACTCACGGAGATCCAGACAGATCTCCTCTGCCTTCCAAGTGCCAGAATTAAAGGTATGTACCACCACTGCCTGACCTCTATGTTTAATCTAGTGGCTGTCTTTGCCCTCTGATCTTCAGACTTTGTTAAGAGTACAAACAAAATATCACCACAGTATACCTTTTGCATACCCTGCCTAAAGTAGTTGTCCCTCCAATTCCCCTGGTACCTTCTTCTCAACCTACTCTGATTTATCTTGAATTTGGAGCACCCACCCCTTTCTGGAATTTTCTTCTTATTGTTTATGTCTCCCCCCCCCATAGACTGTAATCTATGTAAGCGTTTCTTTTTTCATCTCGTTTCTGTCTCTTAGACCAATTAGATCACTTACAAATTTACATTGGCTTTATTTTGTGATTCTAGAATTGGGCGACACTTCATTCCATGAGCTAGAATGTGTTCTGACGGCTTGGAAGGGGCCAATCATATTGACTGTAGTTGGACTTTTTCATAGGACTGTTGGCTCCTCAATAATGACACGGAGATTATTATTAATTATGAAAGCTCAGCCTTAGCTTAGGCTTGTTTCTAACTAGCTCTTACAACTTAAATTAACCCATGTCTTTTAATCTATGTTCTTTAAATGGCTCTGTACTGCCCATGCTGCTTCCTCTCCATTTGGCTGGTGACCTCACCTTTCCTCTTCCCAATGCCCTCTATGCCTGGAAATCCTGCCTAGCTACTGACTGTTCAACTTTTTATTAAACCAGTCAGAGTGACACATCCTCACAGTGTACAAAAAGATTATCCCACAACAATAGACAGAGAACTCAAGGCAGCAGAAATAAAACAACAACAACAACAACAACAACAAAGTGACTGACATCTGTTTTCTGTGTAAGGTTAGGAAAGGAAGAGGGAACCAGAGAGAGGGAACTGGTTAATAGATCACTCCAGGTTGCTTTTCGTAAGGACTAAGGCAGCCAAAACGTAGTTATCATACTAGTTGGAATTGGCCCGGCTAGGAAATTGGCCAATGCCTCTTTCTGTCCTGATTTCTTAGAAGGTCAGAAAGCTAGTTTTAATTTGGTAACATGGAACTCCAGTATAAGAGACTCTATTTTAGTTTTAATTTATTTACCTTTTTTTTTTTTTTTTTTAGACAAGGTCTCAATGTGCCACCATTTATTTTAGTGTGTGTGTGTGTGTGTGTGTGTGTGTGTGTGTGTGTGTGTGTGTGTAGGTCAGAGGATAATATGCAGGAGTCAGTTCTTTCCTCTATCAGGTGGGTCTTGGAGAATGAACTCAGGTATCAGGCTCAACAGCAGGTCTTTGTTACAGAAAACAAAGGAACTTAGTAGGAGGCAGGAACCATGGCTATAACAAAACATCTGAGGCAGTCTACTTTATAAAGAAAAGAGGATTTTTCGTGGCTCAAAGTTCTAGAAGCACAAGGTTCAAAGATAATGATTCAGGCTCTGGCTAGGGCCTCTTCCTTGCTGGTGTCACATTACTGTGGGAGTCTAAATATATGTTTGTGTCTGTTCAGTCTAACTGTCCCTATAAAGCCACCACCAGGGTTCTTACACAGACCTGCACACTAACAACCTATTCTAATTCCAAAGATTCCACCTCTAAACACAGTCATGTTAATTTTCCATTCTTATTTGTTTGTTTGGTTGTTTTATTTTGAGACATGTCTCTATATCTCTACATAGCTCTGACTGTCCTGGACTGGGACTGACTATGTAGACCAGGCTGGCCTTGAACTCACATAGAATCACTTGCCTCTGCAGTCGGGTGCTGTGATAAAAGGAAACAGGCCTAGAAACTTTCCTTTCTTTTAATATCTGCATAAGACCTTGGGAATTAAATTCCTTCCAGTGTAGAAAACAGACTGTATTTAAAACGTCGCAGGCAGTGAAGCCAGTGTCTTGTCCAGATTCACAGAGCAAGAGCAGAGACAGAACCTGGGCAGTGGTAGCTCCTTTACTCCTTTGTGCTTTATTCACAGGGTCACCTGGCATTGCTTCTCAAAAGGCAGCCAAGGAACAACAGGCCACAGGCCTCAGGATCCTGCCTGCAGACTCTCTATGTCAGACCCTAGAAGTCTGCATTTTTACAAGCGTCTGAGGAAACTGTCCTGCACATGCGCGTTTCGAAGACTACTGTGCCCTGGGTGACAGCAGCACCGCGTCAAAAACAGCCTTGGCCAAATTCCGGGGCTCAAGGCTCCCGCAGCCTCATGGGAAATGTAGTTTCAGCCGGCCTTCCCGCCTCTGGCCTCTTGAAGAGCTCGCCGGAAGGAGCCGAGCCAATGCGGAAAGAGCCGAGTGTTCCGAGGCGGGCCTTTTCCTGCTCGCTTGCATGCTGGGAAAGGGCAGTTTCCGTTAGCTGCTGAAGGCTGAGGCGCGCCACCGGCCACCTCCCCACGTGAAGCAGTTGTGCGGGCATCGCCACGCCGGGCAGCTGTCTACCCGCGTCCGAGCGCCCCGGAAGCGGCGGGGGACCGGAAGTGGCCCGCGGAGGCTGCAGAGCTAGCCCGGGAGCCCGCTGTGAGGCGACTGGCAGCGCTGCGACGGCGCCATGTCCCTGATCTGCTCGAGTGAGTGCTGGCTGCGGCGGGAGGCGGGAGCGTGCCCGCGGCCCGAGCCCCGGAGCCCGCGGCCCTGCGTGCGGGGTGCATTTGCGCAGTGCTGCGCGGTCCACGTAGCTGGGAAGAATGACTGTCGTTGTTTTACGGAGCCGAGACAGGCCTGAGCCGAGGGGGCGAGGGGGGAGTTGGTGCAGGGAAAAGCTGCTCTCGGTGTCGGACACCCGAGGAAGACGTCCAGGGTCCTCCTCCGATTGTAATCTGGGCTCTAGCAGTCTGAGCCTCAGGTTCCCCATCTGCAGCATTGAAAGCATTGCAGTGGGTATTTGCTGGGGAACGTCGCTTAGGAATCGGAGTTTCTGTGATTTGCAGCGATCACGCAGTGACTTCGAGACAGGGCTGGAAGCCAGGTGTCTGGCTTCTAGGCTCGCGCAGTGTGACTAATGAAAACAGCAAACGTTTAGAAAACCTGTATTGATTTACGACGCATTTCCAAACGGTGATCTCATTTTATGCTTACAAGGATTTTCTGAATGGAAATGAAGATTGGTGATTTAGATAGGGCGTCAGAAGGCTTAGGAAGAATGGGGTTTATCCGGGGATGTGCGGTACAGCTGGGCGATGGAGCTCGGTTGAGTCTGGATCCATGCTTCTTCCATGCTGTATACTGTCTTGTCTTTGGGTGTTTTATTACGGCATTGCGGGTGTTTACCTTGTTGTTTACCCCATCAGTAGCGTCCCCTCCCTCTCCAGTCTCTTCTCAGAACGTTGCCATTAATTCAAAGAGGGAAAGGAAGGAGGGAAATAACAGAAAAGGGAATCTCACACTGAAGAAATTGCAGTTTGCAAAGTATTTCCGAACGATTTGTTTCCTTTTAATCTTGAGAGAGCACTCTGACATGCCCTGGGCCATCCTTCCTTTTGTAAGGGAGGGAAAGCTCCCTCAAGTGTCCATTCGTTGAGTGTGCGAGATAAACGAACAGAATAGCTCAGGAAAGCCATATTTCCTCCCATACTTGATTACGTATGCATGGGAGTCCTGCAGAAAAACAGGTGACGCTAAGGGAAGCTTATACAGAACCTGTGCCACCGAGAAGAATAGGAGCTTGAGGCCTCGGGATGGTGACTCACAAGTGATGGGAGGGTGAACAGAATTATGTGGTGAATAAGAGCTATTTTGTTATGTGATAAGTCTCTCGGGCAATAAATATTGTCTTAGAGCAACCATCAGAAGAGTCTTGAGTGTAGAGGTAGCTTTCACTTGTCTGCTAAGGTGAACCAATTGTCCCTGTTTAGGGGAGTTAGAGAAACCAGAGGGCCTGAGAAGGTCAGAGAGACCTTGGTTCTGAGCTTGCTTTTGAGACCTTCATTTTTGGTAATTTAGCATGCCCAGGCTCCATACTTGGGGATATTTTCTTCTGAGCCCCAGGGCTTATGTTCTCATTTACCCTGTTCTGATGTTTATCAAGTGTCTGCTTAGTATCTGCATTGTCCTGGAGGTCAGTGACAGCTGTGACGCCCATCTTCAAGGGTACACAGACAATTCTGTCAAGTGCCTAGAATAGAATCTTGCTTGGCACGTAGCAGCAGACATGGAATTTTTTTTTTAATTTATTTTTTAATTTATCAGTGCTTGTCACATTGCTTTGTAATTTTTCGCCTGTTGATCCGTTTAGGGCTCCATACAAATGGCAGGGATTTGAGTTATGCTGTGTGTACTTCTTTGTCATGTGCCCAGTCATCTTTGTTCAAAAATGAGATGGGCAGGGCTTGCTGACCCCTCTTTACAGGACTGGTACAGACCTGGGCAGTCATTATTTATTGACTTTTATTATCAGCAGCCTAGAGACTCTAGTTAAGTGGTTGGCAAGCATTCTAGGGCCAAGTACCAGCTGGCTCGCTGTCACAGACCTTGCTTCCTGATAGCTGAGTGTGAGGTCAGGGTCTTGTTGGGGCTGACACATGAAGAGTCCCCTCTAGCCCAGGTCTCCGTTACCCTGCCTGTGCTTACTACCTGCCTTTCTCTGTAGTCTCCAACGAAGTGCCCGAGCACCCGTGCGTGTCCCCCGTCTCCAATCATGTGTATGAGCGGCGGCTCATTGAGAAGTACATAGCAGAGAACGGCACAGACCCTGTCAACAACCAGCCCCTCTCGGAGGAGCAGCTCATCGACATCAAAGGTGCCCGCCCCGCCCCGCAGCCTAAGTCCAGGGCCAGCTCAGCCCAGCCTTCACGGGTGGAAGGTGGAGCCGGTCTGGTGAAGAAGATGGTGGCTGTGAATGAATAAAGAGGACTGGGCGGGGGGTCCCCTGGGTTCTGTTACTTCATACCTGCTTTGCTGCCTCTCTTGGCAGTTGCTCACCCAATCCGGCCCAAGCCTCCCTCTGCCACCAGCATCCCAGCCATTCTGAAAGCCTTGCAGGATGAGTGGGTGAGTTCTGTGAAGAAAATGCACCTCTGGGCCTGGGGACTGAAAAGATGGGATCTCCCTCCCTCTTTTTTTAGTTTTTTATTTTATGTATATAGATGAAATTCTAATAAAATATCACCATATATGTATATGGGTCTTTTGCTTATATATATGTCTGTGTATCACTTATGTGCCTGGTGCTTGGGAGGCAGGAAAGGGTTGTGATCCTTTGGAAATGTAGTTACAGACAGTTGTGAGCCATCATGTGGATTCTGGGAATTGAACCTGGGTCCTCTGGAAGAACAGCAAGTGCTTTTAACTCCTGGGCCATCTCTCCAGCCCTCTTATTTTCTTGATATAGGGCCTTGCTTTGTGGCCTAGGCCGATCTGGCACTTAGGATCCTTCTTCCTTAGCCTCCTAGTGCCTAGGATTACAAGTCCCAACCACCAGGCCTGACTCTTCTTGTGGGGATGAACACAGGGCTAATGTGAATGCTGTACCACTGAGCAGCCCCCTCATTTTTTGCCAGCCTTATTTCATTTGTGAGGAGCAGGATGGCAGCACAAAGAGGAGCCTGGTTGTTGGAACTCTTGCAGACCTGGATTCCAAAGTTTTCTCCACTGTCAGCCTTTGTGACTTGAGCACACTGCTCAGTCTCTGAGGCTTGGCCTTCCTGACTATAGGACACTGATTAGTCCTGTCTGTCTGGATTCTGTAAGAAGTAGAATACAGTTGACACATTCGCCTTTTGACACCAGGGAGTCTTTTTCATTACTGAGCACTGCACTTGCTGAGGGTAGCCAGTAAATAACCACACCAGCGTTACTGTTTCCATTCAGACAAGTGATGGCATTAACAGGTGTGATTTGCTGGTGCATAGTAAAGGTGGGGGTGGGAGGAGCTAGCCCTCACTTCTTTCTGTCTGTGTGTTCAGGTTGTGGTGTGGAGTAGGAGCCTGCATGCCTTACAGGGTCACTCTGAGTAGCTGGGGTTGGTCTCAGTGTGGACTAGGAGGCGGTGTCCTCTTCTCCAGGGCTGGCTGAGTTGGCTGGCTCTTCCCCAGTCCTCACAGTGGCCTACTCTCTCCCAGGATGCAGTCATGCTGCACAGCTTCACTCTTCGCCAGCAGCTGCAGACAACCCGCCAGGAGCTGTCCCATGCTCTGTACCAACACGATGCTGCCTGCCGAGTCATTGCCCGTCTCACCAAGGAAGTCACTGCTGCTCGAGAAGGTGTCACCTCTTCCCCGCTGTCCCCCACCTTTTGCTGGCCCTGCTTTGTAATGTCCCGTTTCTAACATAATCTTTTCTCTCAGCTCTGGCTACTCTGAAACCACAGGCTGGTCTTATTGTACCTCAGGCCGTGCCAAGCTCACAGCCCAGTGTGGTGGTAAGTGTTCCCTTCCAGACCCCAGGAGCTGTCCTTACACAGGTGTCTTTGGCATTGTGAACTCCTCCTACTCTCCCTTTCTTTTGTACAGGGTGCAGGAGAGCCCATGGATTTGGGTGAGCTGGTGGGCATGACCCCTGAAATTATCCAGAAGGTGAGTCATACGCTCTTCCGCTGGGACTGCCACATGTCCTCCTTGGTGCCGTGGGCTGCGGGGCCAGAGTAAGAACCTCACACTAGGTAGTGGGGAGGCCTGCACTGCCACTTGAGCTTTCTGACGAGCTGACTTCAGCCTGCCTTTCTCTGTCTCATTTCCCTTGCTTCTAAATAGAGGGAGGTGTGTACGTCGCAGGCTGCTTGTAGGGAAGATCGAATCACTGAGAAAGAAGGGCAGCTTTTAGCACTTGCTGTTTTTGTGTTCTTTGCTGATATTAAGCTACTTTGTTACAGGCTTTGAGGGTTTTGCCTAGAAGATAGAAGTTATTTTAAGACAGGGAGTCTGGGACTGCAAGTCAGAGCTGAGAAGGGACAGGGCAGGCTTCCAGACTGCGACCCAGGGTCCTGCTGAATGTATAGTCTGCATTTGTAGGGTCCAGCAGTGTCTGAGCAGCTCATCTGAGAGCTCACATGTTTGTAGCCTAGACCTTGGTCCCAGAGCACAACAGCCTAGCTCTGTCCCTCCTAGCTCTGCCATTCGTCACTTTAGTGACCTTGGCAAGAGGGTTCTTTCGATGTAGTTTCCTCGGCTGTGCCATAAGGTCATGATGCCTCACCTTAAAAGATGGGAGTGGAAATGTGTCAGCTTTTAGCACATAGCTTGGCAGATAGCACGCTTTTGGTGATGATTGTGACACCAGATGTACCAGCACCCAGTGTGCTTTGTCCATGCAAAATCACTTGTCTCAGAAAATTGTGTTCTCCACAGCTTCAAGACAAGGCTACTGTGCTAACCACGGAGCGTAAGAAGGTGAGTTGATGCCTGGTGTGAGCACTTGCCTTCTTGGAGGAGGGGCTAGTTGAAGCCTGCATTCATTGCTGCTCTCTTGGGCTTTCTGTTTTCTCAGAGAGGAAAGACTGTGCCTGAGGAGCTGGTGAAACCTGAGGAGCTCAGCAAGTACCGGCAGGTGGCATCCCATGTGGTAAGTACCTGGAGGTGGCCCTTACTGTTTCTAGGGCACAGTGGGCCAGCAGGAGGAGCTGGGGGAAATGCTGCTCAGACCTCTGGCATGGTGTCTTGCCATGCAGTGAGGGAGTTGCTGCATCCAGGCAGCCAGCCAAGCTGGGTGCCTGGGGAGGAATACTAGGGGTGTGGGGAAGGGGAGTAGAGGAGCTGTGTGCATCTCTGGCCTGCCTTGATTTGACTGTAACTGGGTTTGGTGTGGTTCTGTCTGTAAAGGGGCTACACAGTGCTAGCATTCCTGGGATCCTTGCTCTGGACCTCTGTCCTTCGGACACCAACAAGATTCTCACTGGTGAGTCTGGGCCCAGCCTGACAGGCCAAGGTGAGGGATGGCAGGAGCAAGAGAAGGTGCAAGCCCCTGGTCCTTGCCATTGATTGGAGGACAGAAAGACCTTCGTTAACACAGGGATCTTTATAGGCCTGACTCATTTTTTGTCTTTTGTGGATCTTCTCCAGGTGGGGCAGATAAAAACGTTGTTGTCTTTGATAAGAGTACTGAGCAAATCCTGGCCACTCTCAAAGGCCATACCAAGAAGGTCACCAGTGTGGTGTTTCATCCTTCTCAGGTAAGGTACTCTTAAAGCTACTCTTGTCCTTACGTCCAGTGCCAGTGGTTTCAAGCCTCAGAACCATTCCCCCAATCCCTGCTGTCATGATGAAGTGGCATTGATGGGTCTCTTTGTAGAACCTCAAAGCAGTGGCCCTCAAACCAAGGAGAAAGAAAATGCAATCAACAAAGCATATGCACATCAATTTTGCATTAGGTAAAGAAAACAAGCATCCTAGCTAGAGCCTTTATAGATGAACTACAGACAATAAAGGTGTTTGTTCCCATGACCCTGTAGAGTTGGGGTTAATTTTAATGTTGACTGTTGAAAGTAGTGAGTTCAAATAGAAGAGAACCACTGGCTTAGAGGAGAAAGGTAGTTCATTAGAGGAGATTAATGGTCTCAAGACTTGAGCCAAAAGTACAGTGGCTTGGTATGCAGCTCCATGGGATGCTGGATAAGTGCCTCCCAGTTAAGTCTTTCTCTTAAGGAACTGAGAAATAGAGGAATATTTGTGTCTTAGTGTTCTGTTGCTCTGAAGAGACACCATGACCACAGCAACTCTTACTAAAAGAAAGCATTTGATGGGGGCTGGCTTACAGTTTCAGAGGTCAGTCCATTATCTCCATGGCAGGGAGCATGGTGGGAAGCATGGCACTGGGATAGTAGCCGAGAACTACCTCCTGATCTGCAAGACAGACAGACACATACACACACTCACTCTGGGTTTGGCATGGCCTTTGGAAACCTCAAAACCAACCCACTCCCAGTGAGATACTCCCCCAACAAGGCCACACTTCTAATCTTTTAAAACAGTGCCACTGCCTGATGATAAGGCTTCAAGTACATGAGCCTAGAGGGGACATTCTTATTCAGACCACCACAGTTACAGCATACTGAAAAACTAATTCAAATTGAAAGCATTATTGCCCTGTTTATTTAGTGTTGGTATTACTTTTGGCTTTTATGAATATGTGTTAATGAAAGAGGATAGTTGCTTTTATCTTCTGGCTGTTACTCTCCTAATTAGTTGAAATAATTTGTAGGGAAACTAAAATAAGCTCTCTGTCTGCCCCAGGTCTTTTGGACAGTCAGCTTACCCTTGAGGTCTAAGTGTGGGAACATGAGAGCATGACCTTTATATTCCTTTACAGGCTCAGTGCTGCTCAGATCTGGGCCGTCTAGTACAGTAGACTAGCTGCAGGTGGCACAGGACTCCAGGCCCTCAGTCGCACTGGCCATATTTCACCCAGCTTGAAAGTGGGTCAAAAATAGCTCTCGGATGCAGTTGCCCTTTTTACTGCTAGGTAGTGAGGATCTCACTTGGCCCAGTGTGGCCATTTCAGCAGCATTTTTTTTCTTGGCTTTCTTATGCATTGTCGTTTAATTAGGTGGTTACAGGCAGGCAGGGCTAGAAGGAGAAGCAGTGGCCAGTGGTTGTGGCTGTAATTGTCACTATGGAAAAGAGTGTTATAGTACATCTCACCTCCTGGGCTCTGATTCTTGGTCTCTTTCCTTTCAGGAACTGGTGTTTTCTGCATCCCCAGATGCGACTATCAGGATTTGGTCGGTCCCAAACACTTCTTGTGTACAGGTTGTTCGGGCCCATGAGAGCGCAGTGACAGGCCTCAGCCTCCATGCTACTGGAGACTATCTCCTGAGCTCCTCTGATGATCAGGTGCAGTCCCAGCCAGGGCCCTGAGGAGGCTGCTTACTCACCCTGGGAGGATGGACCATCTTGCTGGGGGTAGCCAGATTCCCAGAGTTCTGGAAAAGTTTATTCCCTGTTGTGGGAGCTAACTTTGCCAGCAGGTGCTGAACCAGGGTCTCTCTTGAAGGCCACCAGACCCACTTTCTTATTGGCTTCTTTGTCTCATCTCCAGTACTGGGCCTTCTCTGACATCCAGACAGGGCGTGTGCTCACCAAGGTGACAGATGAGACTTCTGGCTGCTGTAAGTGGCCTTAGAGGCACTGAGCTCTTTTGTTTGCAGTTTATGTTAAGTTTGACTGAGTCATTTGCTTATCTGATCTAAAGATAGTGCTTACCACTGGCACCAGTATAGTGGCCACAGTGGCTGCTGACTACAGATCCCTCTCCCTTTCCTCAGCTCTTACCTGTGCGCAGTTCCACCCTGATGGGCTCATCTTTGGAACAGGAACCATGGACTCCCAGATCAAGATCTGGGACTTGAAGGTAGGACATGCAGGCCTCTTCTGGGGCCCAGAGGGAGAAGGAACTGCTGAGGTGTGGCAGCAGGCCCTGGGGTATCTCAAGGCTTAGGAGAGCCTGGCTCTGTTTGCTGGCATGGTGATGTCACCTAGGAACTGTGGGTGCACAGGACATCTCAGACAGTTTCTTCCTGTCTTGACCAGTGAGTGCTACTTTTATTGCCCACCCCCACCTGTAGGAGCGTACCAATGTGGCCAACTTTCCTGGCCACTCTGGCCCCATTACCAGCATCGCCTTCTCTGAGAATGGGTACTACCTGGCCACAGCGGCTGATGACTCTTCAGTCAAGCTCTGGGACTTACGCAAGCTGAAGAACTTCAAGACACTGCAGCTGGACAACAACTTTGAGGTGCGTGCACTCCCCGCAGTCTCAGCTGTTCCTCCTCACCCGCTGGTGGTTTCTGAGTTCATGTAAGCTGCTGCTGTGTGCTCCCAGCTGCTCTGTGCCTTCTGCTCTTTTGTGTAATTGCCTCTCTTTGGGCCTTGGCAGGTGAAGTCACTGATCTTTGACCAGAGTGGTACCTACCTGGCTCTTGGGGGTACAGATGTCCAGATCTACATCTGCAAACAGTGGACAGAGATTCTTCACTTTACAGGTAGAGGCTGGCTGTGCTCACCTGGGCCTTGTACATCGGCTCTAGAGAAAAGTGGGGAAGCTTCACTGTGGGGTGAAGCTCTGGGCTTGGCCTAGATATGGCCAAACTATTCTTTGCTTCTCCTTGTACTGTCCTGGGAGTAGAACCCAGCCATGTTTTCTACTACTGAGCCCAACCCCCAGGCTGCTTTTACTTAGGTCTGGGGCAGTAGAGCATTGTGGCCTAGGAAAAGTATTTGTGAGTTTGTTTGGCTGTGAGTAGTGTGAGTAGCTGGCCTCTCCCAAGTTGTTTGTTGAGGGGCAAATTATGTAATTTCTCTGGTGCCCCAGGAAAATCGTAAGGATAAGTTCAGACACTCAGTGGGAAATATGGGGGTTCTATATGAAAGTGCATGTGATCCATAGGTTAAAAGTGTCTTATGGTATGTTTGGTATTGGGTCTTGATTTGAGCAATGAAGAAGAACCAGTCTGGGCGGTAATGAAATTTTTTTAAATTATTTTTAATTTTTTAAAATTATTATTATTTATTTATTTGTTTTTTTTATTTTGGTTTTTCGAGACAGGGTTTCTCTGTGTGACAGCCCTGGCTGCTCTAGAACTCAATTTGTAGATCAGGCTGGCCTTGAACTCACAGAGATCCACCTGTCTCTGTCTACCAAGTGCTAAGATTAAAGGCATGTAGCACCACACCCGGCATGTTTTTTATTTTTTTGTGAACTTTATTGGGGTCTATCATGGGTGAGTGATGAAGTTTATAATGAAGTTAGGAAGAGAAGGTGGAAATTGCTCTAGTAGGTTTGTTTTTTTTTTGTATGGAGATGGAGTTGAGGCTGTTCCCACAGTAGCAAGTGTTCAAGCCCCAGCACAAGTACTTAAGGGAACTAGAAGTAATAAGAGAAGTCAGGCTGGCACAGCGCTGCACACGAGGGTTTCCACCCTGGAGTCACCTGTGCCCTGCATAGCTCTAGCTTCAACTTTAGGGGACCCTGCTGGGTGTGACAGCTGTGTAATCCCAACTCTTGGTAGCTATAGCTAGAGAATCACCTTGAGTTAGGCCAGCCGGAGCACAAGAGGGCTTTTCTCTGCAGAGTTGGGGAGCTCCGGGTGCTTTCCTAAGTTGGGAAGGCACTCCCCCCGGTTCTCCAGCTGAGTCCCATGAGGAGGATAGCTCAGCTTTGCCGATTCTGAATCCAGCCGTGTGCTCTGTGCCCTGGACTTTGACGTCTTTGAGCTAGCACAGGCTAATGGACAAGAGCTAAAGCTAAATATACATACTAAATGGGCACTGAGGTTTCCAGCTGAAGTATGCTTGCCCAGAAAGCTCAGGTGAAAGGTGATTGGTATTCCTCTGTTCCTGCACCCCACCAACAAAAGGCTGAGTGCTGCTTCCTGCCAGGTGCCGAGTGCTGGCTACAAATAAGTGGGGAACAGAACCCTGCTTCGGGAGGGTGTCTTACAGTGCCTTCTGACCCTTACCATCTGGATGTGTGCCAGCAGCATGGCATTCAAAGTCATTGTTCAGCCCTGGAGAAGAAATAGCCTTCTCATGGTTCCCTTTTTCTCTCCTCAGAGCACAGTGGCCTGACCACTGGAGTGGCCTTTGGGCACCACGCCAAGTTCATCGCTTCAACCGGCATGGACAGGAGCCTCAAATTCTACAGTCTGTAGGCCTTGTGCCTTCTCACAATTCTGGGCCTCATCTCAGTAGTGGGTTAGAGTTGGGGGTGGGACCTTAGGAGGAGGGAGGTCTGGTGGGGGGGACATTCACATCATTTCATTCTGTTCTGGATGATGCTCTGAGCCAGGGCACATGGAACACTGCTATCCATGCAGCCTTCGGGCCCTAGGGAACGGACATGGAGGAACTGTCACCCTGTAAATGCTCAGAGTTGGAGTCCAGCACCTCCCCCAGTAGTGGCAGCTGTTCCATGCCTGCTCTGTTTCAGCTCTTCTGAGACAGGGAGGTGAGCCAAGGGAGCTGTGAGGGGAGGGGCAGGAGGGCTCGTGCTGGTTTTTGTAAGCAGTGATCTAGTTTCATTAAAAAAAAAATCCACACAGTAAATATTGTCACCTCCTTGCGTCTGTCTGGCAGAGAGACCCTGAGTTGGGAAGGTCGCGGGGAGGGAGCACAGTGTGGGACACAGGCTATTAGGAAGCCGCCTCCTACAGCAGAAGTAAAGTAAAAGCCTAGAAGTCATTTGTCAGAAGTCTCCCATGCTCAGGCAGGCCTTGACCTTGTATCCAGGGCCTCTATCACTCATGCTGTGCTTGCTCTCTGGCTTGTTCTTTTCTCACAAACCTGAAAGGTGGTGAAGAGTTAGATTAGCCTTAGCCTGCTGGTGGGTTGCTGCCAGTGGATTGCTGGGTACTTCAGTTATAGGTGATACAAACTGGTTCCAGCTGGCTTGACCAAAGAGATTTTCTTGATTGGCAGCTGATCATTGAAGTAGAGCTGTTCCCAGTGGAGACAGCTAATGCATGGAAAATAAAAAGTGAGATGATAACATGGGGGGGGGGTGTTAATCTAGGACCCTGTGGCTGCTCTGCATTTGGAAGTTTCCTGGGGACAAGGGAAGTTGTAGGTAGAAGGAAAGAAAGGAGGTTCTGCGGTTGAGATAAAGGAGGTGTGGAGTGGGAGGAGTTAGTGTGGTCCCAGGGTAAGTTACTATTAGGTGTGCCCAGGAGCACCTTAGGGCCATCCCAGTGCAAAGCTGCTGTTGGGAGCCTGCTGTGCTGCCTGTGTGCAGAGATGAGGTCAGGAAGGGGAGGTGGCACAAACAGATGACGAGTGAGGTGTCACCTAGAGGTTGTGGGCAGGTAAAGTAGTCCTTACTGTCACCACAGACAGACAGAGCCTCTGGATATGTGCTGCCAGGCAGTCCTGTGTCCAGGGAATTCGGATTTCCCTTACCTGCCAGGATGGAAAATCTTAGAACAGACACACCATCTGCCTTAGCTGGGCAGCCTGCTGCTCCCTGGAAGTGTATCCAGTAAACTATTGCAGTGGCTGGGGAGACGGCTTGGTTGGTAAAGTCTTTCTGGGCAAGCATGAGGAGCTGGGTTTGATCCCCAGCACCTAATGTAAAAAAGCCAGAAATTGTGTGACGTGTGTGGTATGTACACAGAGGGGAGCCCTGGCATATACCAGAGATGTAAACAAGTAGCCACCCCTCTTTATGTGCACCAGTTTGTATAGTACCTCAGGACAGTGAGATCATGTGCAGTTAGGGCAGAATTATATACAGATAGCCAGGAGGTGCAGGAACAAGTGTCTGGAAGTCTGCTGAGGGTCCAGTGACTCCACCCACTTGTATGAGAGAGCATTGACAGTCAACAGGCCCAGTCTTGGGGTCTCTTGCTAGGAGTTGGAGGTGCTCTGATGGGAGATAAAAGCAAGCAGCTCTCAGTTGGGGCTCCACCTTCCTGTAGTCACCAGCTGCACCAATCCTAGTATTTAGGGTCTAGGAGCATCACGGGGCCTGGTGACCGAAGAGAATGTTTGCTGTGGAATGGATCGGTGCTTACTGTACCCTCTGAGCATTTGAGCCTCTGGATGTTCAGAGCCATGTCCTTTTGCTGTGGAACTGACTGACAGGGAGTCTATATGGTGCTTGAACTTGAAGCACCATCCAAGGAGGTCACTTGGGTGCAGTGGCTCCCAGCTAACCCGGCATCTTGGCTGATCTCCTGCATGGTGTGCCCCTGGCCAGCAGGTGGTACTAGCACTGTTCTGTAGGTGAGTGTTCAGAGAAGCATCTTGTCCTAAGGCATCCATGAGTTGGGATTTTAAGCCTAGTTTCAGAGACAAAGCTGAGGTAGCAATGGGCAGCTGATGACCTCCACAGGTCTCCGGGAGTCATGACAGTATCTACTCAGGCGTTCATGAGCCCAGGTTTGACTCGCAGCTCCATCTTTTTACAATGAGTCTGTATCAGTTTCTATATGAGTTTGTGGTTTCCACCTGGTAGGGCTGAGAATTAATTGAGCTATTTTGAGGAGTGAACACAAGGTGGCCCTCTGCAACTGCAGACTGCTTCCCTGCTTTGTGATGATTGACAGTGACAGTTACAGTGCTTGACACCTGTGGTGTTAAGGTTTGACCTAACTTCTCCATCCACAAGCCTGAGATTAGAGCTCATCAATCCAGCTGCTCGTGGTGGTGCACCCCTTTAATCTCAGCATAGATCTCCGAGTTCGAGGCCCGCCTGGTTTACAAAGCAAGTTTTAGGACGGCCAGGGCTATTCAGAGAAACCCTGTCTCGAACAAACAAAAACAGGCAAGATAAAGCAGAATTTCCAAGACTGAAATTTGAAGGAGTCCTCTGCCCCTCTACACCCATACTAAGAATTTGGACGGCACACATTGGAGAGACTTAGACTTCTCATTACTGGGGCAAAGGTTTTTTAGTCCATCAGCACCGATATGGGCAGCACTCCTCTTCGCCCACCTCAGTGCACTGGTCTGTCCCCCTTGCCTTACTCTGGGTCGAGCCTCTGCAGTCCCCTTCCTTGGGAGCTTACATCTAGACTTTTCTGCCTTTGGCATGCTCCGAGCTTCATTTATGGTCTCTGCACTCTAGACAGAATGTCGGCATCGTCAGAATTCTGTAGAAGTTCCCAAAATAGAAGCTGTTTTTACTTCCCAGAGTTTTTTGTTTTTATTTTAATTCCATCTTTATGACTCTCTTTTTTCCCTCTCACATTAGTTCAGCAGTGACTTAAGTGCATATAAAAATATTTATAATTTGGCATTTTGTTTACTTCTAAAGACTGGTCCGGTATCTCCCATTATTGGAACAGAAAAGGCCCTTTTGCATTAAATGTTCTGGCAGGAATGCCTGGATAGGAGCCACATGTGAAATACACCTTGAGATGTAGCAGTCAGCTCTGAAGTATTCCTTTTATTTTTATCTCGTGTACGTGGCTTGTGCCCTTACCTTACATCATGACACGTGTGGAAGGAAGTCGAACACAGTTGCAGGGGTTGGTTCTCTACCACCATGTGGGTTCCAGAGACCAAACTCAGGTCCGCTGCCTTGGCAGCAAATCTGTTTACCTGCTGAGCTGCTAAGCTGTTTGGTCAGCCCTCACTTCAGGTCAAAGCACATGGAAATAATTTGTCCTCAGTGTCTAGTGTGGAGAGGCAGGGAACCCCTTGGGTCTCTGATAGCTGTGGCCCAAAAGCAAGAAGAGGAAATCTAATGAGCTATAAGCAGCCCTGCTTTCTGGTCAGGAAGGGTGGCTGGCTTGCCTTCCTCCCCATCAGGTCTGATTCAGCCTGCCACAGGCTCAGGTGCCTGCTCAGGGAAGCAGGTGGATTTTTTCTTTCTTCCTCCTTTCCATATCGCCCCCCCCCCCTGCATGCCAGGATTAAAGGTGTGCACCACTACCGCCAGAGGGGAGCTGTTTTCACCTGAGCACACAGTTCAGGTGAGATTTTGGGTATCTAGGAATATAATACCTTCCTGAGATACCAAATGCTTCCTGCCATTGAGAGCAAAGGAAAGTGTTGCAGAGAGCTTTGTTGTTCATGTTTACTGTGGTTTTGCCCTTGAACCCTTTGATACAGAGGTATTGACAGAATCTATATACCATTTCAATAATCATTACAGAGTTCCCTATCAAAAATCACATGCTCGTGTAATTTGAAAGTAAGGGCAACCATTAGTAGTCTCAAGTTAACAGCCCCAAAGGGCAAATGGGTGTGTTTGTGGTTATACAGGGGAAGGTCTTTGCCATATCCAAAGATAAAAATGTGAGCGGAAAATCTATGGCTATGTGATTTCCTCAGAGAGATGAAACATGAAAAGCCCGTGGCCAGTTGCTGGAAGTAAGGAGGTTGCCCCTTGGGTTTGTGAACACTCTGTGTACAAGGAAGAAACGGAGAGGAAAGACCCAGCAGGCTATAAGATGCAAGCAGCTATGAAAAGGTATAGCTTCTAACAACAGAACCAGAGGCTGGAGGGACGGCTCAGCAGTTAAGAGCACTGGCTGATCTTCCAGAGGACCCAGGTTCAATTCCCAGCACCCACATGGTGGCTCACAACTGTCTAACGCCAGTCCACGGGAATCTGACACCTTCACACCAATGTACATCAAGTAAAAGTTAAATAAATTTTAAAAAATGTATTTAAGACAATAGTGGCTGCTTCTACTGCTCAGATGGGCAAAAATCTAGAATGATGGAGGGGCAGGGAGAACAGGTCCCCATACAGTCTCAGCCCACAGGCATACTGGATGTGGCTTCTGTCTGACTCAGGAGTTCTACCTAGAAAGCAGTGCACAAAGAAGTCCATGCTTATGTAACTGTGTTCAGTACTTAGTACCTGAAGTGCTAGGCTTGGTTTCCTTCAATAGATTAGATGTGCCCTCGTTCAACAGAAAGCTAGACAACACAGATGTTTAAAAATGATACAAAATGGGGCACTAGGGCTGGGGACATAGATCAGTCAGCTGGGAAAGCGCTTTTTTGCACCCAGAACTGAGTAAAACCAGCATGGTGACACATGACTGTAATCCCATGACCAGGATCAGAAAGAAGTTCAGGGTCATCAGGTCAGTCTGCGTTATATCAGACCCTGTCTCAAACAAAGGAATGAACATAAGGATGAATACTTAGAATGTAGTTAGGGATGATGCTGGTTCAGCTCTCCACACACACACATTATACATAAGGACTGAGCAGGTTGTATTTATATATTTAGGAATGTACACACAAAAGGCTATGAATTTGAAAGAGCAAGGAGGGTGTATATAGGCAGGGTTGGAGGAGGAAAGAGGGAAATGATGTGATTATCTCAAAGAAACAAAAGAAGAGGAGTCAGCAACATGGCTCGGTGGGTAAAGTGTTGGCTGTGCAAGTCTGACAACCTGGATTCGATCCCGGAATCCATGGGAAGGTAGAGAACAGTTGTTCTGACTTGCACGTGTATGCCATGGCATGCTCATGCTCACCCTCCAGGCATACACACAGCCTTAAAATAGAAAAGCAAAGAGTGATGCAAGGCATTTAAATTTTTTTAAACTTGAGAGTGACCAAGTGACTCCAGTTGGCACCTGTAG